GCCCCTGTCATCTCTCCCCCCTCAACCCCCTCCCCACCCCACTTAAAGTGATTGCAAGAGGCTTCTTAGTTCTGTTTCATATAGGTATATGAAGTCCATCGACCATACACCATCACAATCTCCTTCCTTCACCCTCCTCTCTTTTGTGTGTGTGTTTTTTGTGTGTTTTTTGTACATATGTTTATCTTTGTGTGTGTGTACCCCCACACACACACAAACTATATCTATTTTACAGTCCTGGTTTTCATTATTAATATTTGTTGATGTTCAAAAGGGTAACTCAATGTATGCCCATTGTGGGCATACTTTACTTTGGTCTATTCAACCCCTTCCATTACTCTCTCTTACTCCTTTACCTCCCACCCCCCATTTTTCAACAGCTTTCAATACACATCCTTATATCCTCTACCTTCACATCTTATGTTATGCAATATTACTGGTTCTCTGTCATTCTCTTTTCCTTTTCCTCTTTTCCCGAGTTCCACAGAGTAGTTCCACTGTTACAAACATGTTCTACATCTGAGTTTGTATATGATCATACTTTTTTTTGTACATATGTTTATCTTTGGATCTATCTTCCACGTGTGAGAGAAAACATGCAACTTTTTTGTTCCTGATCCTGGCTTACTTCACTTAACATGATATCCTTCAATTGTATCTATTTACCTTCAAACAACATGTCATTATTCCTTATGGTGTAATACTCCATTGTGTATATATACCACAATTTCTTGATTCATTCATCAGTTGTAAGGTATCTGGATTGTTTCCAGACCTTGGCTATTGTGAATAGTGCAGCAATGAACATCAGTGTACATGTGCCTCTACTGTATCCTGTCTTATGTTCCTTTGGGTAGATGCCCAAGAGTGGTATCACTGGGTCATATGGCAGCTCTATCTCTAGTTTTTTGAGGAATCTCCATATTTTTTTCCATAATGGTTGTACTAATTTGATTCCCACCAGCAGTGTGTTAGGGTTCCTGCTTCATTACATCCTTACCAACATTTGTTTTGTTATTGCCCTTGATTATGGCCATCCTAACTGGGGTGAGATGAAATCTAAGTATTGTTTTGATTTGCATGTCTTTTACCACCAGGGAGTTGAACATTTCTTCATGTGCTTATTGGCCATTTTACCTCTTCCTTTGAGAATTCCCTGTTTAATTCATGTGCCCATTTCTTCATTGGGGTGTTGATTTTTCTGGAGTTGAGTCTTTTGAGTACCCTGTAGATTCTGGATATTAGTCCCTTATACTAATAAGCTGGCAAAGATTTTCTCCCACTCTATGGGCTGTCTCTTGAGTCTGCTGACTATTTCCTTTGCTATGCAGAATGCTTTTAGCTTGATGGAATCCCCATTTGTTCACTGTTTCTCTTAGATGCTGAGCCTTTTAAGTTTGGCTTAGGAAGTTGTTCCCTATACCTATCTGTTCCAGTATATTACCTACTACTTCCTGGAGTTGTTTCAAAGTTTCAGACCTTATATTAAGGTCTTTGATCCACCTTGAGTTGATTTTGGTACAGAGTGAAATACAGGGATCTAGTTTTAGTCTTCTACATGTGGATATCCAGTTTTCCCAGCAACATTGTTGAAGAGGCTGTCTTTTCTCCAACATGTGTTTTGGGATACTTTATCAAAGATAAACTGGCTATTGATGCCAGGGTCTATGTCTTGATCTTCTATTTGGATCCAATGGTCTTCCTGTCTGTCTTTGTACAAATAACAATCTGTTTTTATTGTTATGGCTCTTTAGTATAGTTTGAAGTCAGGAATTATGATGCCTCCAGCATTGGATTTTTGCTCAGAATTGCTTTGGCTATTCAAGGTCTTTTGTGTTTCCATATTTCACAATTGATTTTTCTATTTCCATGCAGAATGTCATTGGGATATTGATATAGATTGTTTTGAACATGTAGATTGCTTTTGGTAGTGTGGCCATTTTCACAATGTTTATTCTAACAATCCATTAGCATAGAAGATCTTTCTATCTTCTGATGTCTTCTTTGATTTCTCTCTTTAGTGGCTTATAGTTTCATTTAAAAAGGTCTTTGGTTTATTTCATTAAACTTATTCCAAGGTACTTTATTGTTTTTGAGGCTATTGTAAATGGGATTGTTTCCCCGATTTCTTTCTCAGTTTGTTCATTGTTGGTATATAGAAAAGCCACTGATTGTAGTGTATGCTAATTTTGTATCCTGCTACTTTGTCGAAAGAGTTGATGATTTCTAATAGTTTTTTGGTAGAGTTTTTGGGGTCTCTTAGGTATAAGATCATGTTATCTGTAAATACAGATAGTTTGACTTCTTCCTTCCCTATTTGAATCCCTTTTGTTTGTTGCTCTTGTCTTATTGCTGTGGCTAGGAATTCCAAAATTATACTGAATAGGAGTGGAGAAAGCAGACAGCTCTGTTTCATTTCTGATATTAATATAAATGGTTTCAATAGTTCTCCATTTAGTATGATGTTGGCTGTAGGTTTGTTATATACAGCCTTCATTATGTTGAGGAACATTCCTTCTATGCCTAGTTTCTCCAGAGCTTTTATCATAAAAGGTTATTGGATTTTGTCAAGGGGTTTTTCTGTGTCTATTGAGAGGATCATGTGACTTTTGATCTTGCTTCTGTTTCTTATGTATCTGAAACTGAAAAAATATTTACAGGTTTAGTAAAAGCAGACTCAGGATTAGGATTCAATAGCTTTGCCCATGAAAAAGCTATGAATCATCAGAGATTTGAGGTAGAACTAATTGCAAAGGGATGGAACAGGCAACAAAATCAAAGGATGCTGAGATCCCAAGAGACCAATGATAGTGAGAAACTGTTAATAGCCCAGGGCCAAGGGAGAACATTGCCAAAGTAAGATCTCTCTTCTAACCTTACATTATCCTTCCTGTGCCTTTGACTTTATGGATTCATCCTGAAGTCAGTTCACGGTGGAAACTGGGTGATGCAGTTCATTGAGGTTAATACCCTAGAACATCATACAAAGCACAGAGGGTGAATAATAGAAGTGTAGAAGGGAGGAAATTGAAAATAATAAGTGAAAATCTATTATCTAAGGATAGAAATGGTGAATGCTCAGACTTTGGAAGAAATCCCTTAATAAACAGAAATGAGAGCAACTGGGGAAAATGAGTGATATTCTAAAAACAGAGAGGAAGTATAATTAATCCATAGAGTCCCAGAACAGGCTACAAACTTCAAAACAGAAGCTTATACAAATGCAACCTGGAGCTGAAAATGAGATGAGGGTGGTTTAAGGAAAACTAGAGAAAAGGGGGGAAAAAACTCCAAGAAAGACCTGAAATTTATCAACAAGTAAACTTTCAGCAGATTAATAAAAGTTATTGAACCACAGAAGCTATAGTTACTAGTTACTGCTTTTATAATAAACAGTCCAGGTTGGAGTGCCTAATCAAACCCCAGTCATGCTCCCATTGAGCTTTATTTTGTTATAAGCACCATGAACTATTGTAAAGCTATTATATTTCGCATCCAAACTAACCATTCTAGAGACTGTATTTGGTAAGAAGGCTGCAACTCATGAATCACAATCATCATTTGCCAGCTGTTTCCCTACTTGTTCTGGCAATTGGGAGATGCTAGATGCTGAAGGGATAAGTACCTCTGTCATATTTGCCTAATGTACTTTCAAAACAGTTCCAGTGTCCACTTTTATTTTTTTTTCCACAGTCCAACACTGATCTAAACAGCCCTCTCAAAAAAAAAAAAGAAACAAAGTACTACTGGGCCCTTCTGAGATCTAACAACCTATGAGAAGTCTTCCTCTGTGCTACTAAGAAATGAGGTCCAGGTGGGAAGTCCCCCTTTCTCTGAGGTTAAGTCAGACTCTAGATGACCCACCCTCTGAGCTCCCTAAGTACAAGAATGAACAGGGCAGCACCCTCTCATTATAGGTAAGAGTGTTAGATCAAGGGAGATCCAACTACCAAGATTCTAGGTTTTAATACACCTAAATTCTTCTCTTTGTACCCGAAGCCATATAGGTGGAAGAAATGTCCTACAGTTATTATCTCTGCATTACTTGTGTATCATTTGGCATCTTCCTCCAATCCCTGTTTACACAATTCCTTGAATTAAAGGTCCCCTGTGTTCATCATTGGTATGACTTCTATATTCCAAATTGGAGCTTGGATGATATACCCACCATAATTTTAGTTAAAGAGAAAATAGAGCATACAAATCTAAACACATTAAAATATTTCTACACTTGTCTCCTGATGATTTTGAGGGGCTTTGAAGAAAATTAATTCACTTAGAGATAATCTTTGCCAAAAGAACAACAGATTAAGTAGTAAGGATGGCATGGGTAATATTGAGGAAACTATACAATGGAGTTGAATTAGAGGTATTTTTCAGAAGGTTAAGCTCAAAATCTTTCCAGAAGAGCAGGTAGAAAATGCCAATACATGCTGAATAAGGTTAGGTTACTGATAAGGTAAAGAAAACATTTACTTATGATTACACTAGCTATTAAATGAGGAGATCAGGGAGACCAGAAGTAAGAATATTTCAAACAATTAAGCAACTATGGGCATTATCAATTGCCCATGGTAAATTTACATGATAAAATTCAGTAATTTGGAATTGTTCATGCACATTTTATTCCCATTCACAAACAGAGGTATTGCTATTTATCTTGATAAAGGGTAAATTCAAACCAATAAGTAAATAATTTCCTTTCTTCCATATCAAAAAAAAAATTCTGCATTGGAAAATCAATCTCAGTTACTGGAAATCTTTAATACACAAAGAAGGCAAGCTCTTACTCTCATTGTGAATATTTTAGGAAAACAGTAATACCTTTGAAAAATCTGCAGTTTATATTAGTCTTTCTTAGTTCAGTCTTATTACTTAAACCTAAAGTTACTATTTTGGAAACTTTCAAGATAAGCATCAGTCTAAGCATTTTAACCTCTCTGAAGGGCATATTACTCATCCACACAATGAGAAACACTATAAGAAAAGGAAAGGGACATCTAGTTCTTTATTGTCCTGGAACAGAAAACTTTCAGCACAGCTCTCCGTATCTGCTTGGTCTTCACACTATAGATGATGGGATTCATGATAGGCGGGATCAGCAGATAGGCACTGGCAATCAGAGTATGTACATATGGTGGGACTCGCTTCCCAAATCTGTGCACAAATGACAAACTGATCAATGGAATATAGAATATAGCCACAGCCCCAATATGGGAGATACATGTGCTAAAAGCTGTCTTCCTCTCTTCTGTAGAAGCAATACTGAGGACAGTCCTAATGATCAAAACATATGACAGGATGATGAAGACTGAGTCCACTCCAGCAGTGGTGATCAGGGCAGTCAGCCCAACTGCACTGTTGATCCTGGTGTCTGTGCATGAAAGCTTCATCACATCAGGGTGGAAACAGTAGGAGAGGTGGAGCACATGACTGCCACAGTAGGACAATCTTTTAAGAAGCACCACCAGAGGAATCTGTATTAGTGCCCCCCTGGTAATGATGGTGACTCCAATCTGTGCTATTTTAAGGTCAGTTAAAACAGAAGAATATCTAAGAGGATTAGAGATGGCCACATAACGATCAAAAGCCATAGCCAGCAGAACTGAAGATTCCATGACAGTAAAAAGTTGAATAAAGAACATCTGTGACAAGCAGGCATTGAAGCTGATTGCCCTGGCGTTGAACCAGAATATACCCAACATGGTGGCCAGAGTGGATACGGACAGCCCAAGGTCAGTGGTGGACAGCATGGAGAGAAAATAATACATGGGTTCATGGAGGCTGGGCTGAGTGATAATGACAGAGAGAATCAGACTGTTCCCTGAGAGGGCAGTTGATAGAGAAAGCAGAAGGGAATGGAAATCCAGGTGTGGAATGCTTCCAATCCAGGAACACCAGTTAACAGGAAAATGATGGAAGACGATGTGATATTCTGGGAAGTTGACATTGAACTCAAACTGCAAAATCTTTAGTTGAGTGACCTGAAATGGTAAACTGTAACAATTTATTGTATATTAAACCCAAAATTAGTTACTTCACCAGAAAAACATTTCTTAAAGACAATTCTTATTTTACATCAAGAGCTCATGAAAATTGATGTAAAGAAAACAAACAATGGCAACCACAAGAAATAAGGAACCAGAAGTCAGAAAAAGAACAATTACATGAGGATGTAAAATTTATACAAAAAAAGCAAAGGTTTCATCTCATTTAAGTTCACATGCTTATAAGACTGAGATTTTACTTCATTCCTTCCTTATTGAAGTGCTTTGTAGTCCATTAGTATTGGTTGAATTGTACAGAAAATGCTTTATAAAGTTTTAGATGACTAGCAAACAGTATATGAAGTGATTCTAAGGTTATCTATTTGAAATATCAAAAACTGAACTGAGCAATTCTCACTCCATATAGCTATTATGAGCAATTAAGATAATTATAAACAGAATGATTTGAGTACAGAGGTTCTCCAATAAGTATCATGGACAGTTCTGTATTATGAATTTTTATCCTGCCATAATCTAGAATAAGAATATAGAGTCACACCAGACGCCTGCCCTCAAGGATAGTTAGGAAAATATCGGAAAGTTTATAAATCAAATATGTAAACAAATAAAAACCCGTGTGATATGTAAAATGATGGTATTATGTTTAAAATACAGTGGTACTATGCAGGAGAATGTTTTGGGAGTGGCATCAAAATATTTATATAGAAGCTGATAGGTAAAAAATCCTCGAGAAGAAAATTCTAATCATATCCAAAGACAACAGAGCTTCAGATAATTTTAAAATGCCACCATAGCATAAAACATAAAATGCTAAAAGATAGTAAGTATTTAATAGATAACAGGGATCAAGTAGAGAATTATCTTGCCACCAAAAAAAAGGCAAAGAGGGTCTAGGGTTGTAGCTCAGTGGTAGGGTACTTGCCTAGTATGTGTGAGGCTCTGAGTTCCATCCTAGCACTGAGGGGAAGGGGGAGAAATTTGTGCCATTAGCACAGCCTATGTAAACACGCTGATTTCTTCTTCACCTTACACTAAAAAAACAACTAAATTCTCAACCCTGGTTCCTTCCTTCACCAACACTCATAACGTGACTTGCCTGTCCTCATTTTCCTCTTCAATTATTTATACATATAGTTGTATTTTCTTTTTTTACTTAAACGTACTCTGTTGCATTAGTTAAGTCTGGTGGCATTAACAATTACTAAAACTTTAGTAGCTTGAAACAAAGCACATTTCTTATCTCACAATTCTCTAAGTCAGATATATAAACACAGCAAAATTAGATCTTCCATTAAGGATCTCACCAAAGGAGAGGCTGAAGTTTCAGCCAGGACTATGTCCTCATCTGGAACTAAGAGTTCTTTTCCATGGGTTTCCTGATGCAGTATTCTATCCTATTATAAAAGAATGAACCATAGTGTGCTCCCTCATTTATTGATAATAATTCTTCTCATGTGACAATAATATTCCTTTTCCACTATAAGAGAGTACCACAGGTCTTGTGCTGAGTTTCCTTAAGATATTTCTCTTTTGTGAGTACAAACTCATTATTGTGACTATAGTATCAGGCAAATGCAGGTTCAAATACTATCTCTGCCACCAAGCAGAACACATTCTCCAAATGAGCACTTTACATCAGATTCCACTTCTGTGAAATTGATAGCTCACCAAGGTTGTTAACAGAATTTAGATCTTTGTGGTATAGGCTTGAGATCTCCAATTTCTTGCCAACTGGGAGTTGGGTGTATTTTTACCTTCTATAGACTGGCCTCAGTCTTAATCCTGAAGTCCTCACACGATGTGATATGCAATGTATCAGTTACTGAAGTGATATTCCGTCATGTTACAGAATCTTCTCACACCATTGGAACTGGTATAATACAGAGCAAATTCACCACAGTGGGTAGGAATCTTTAGGGACCTCTAATAATTTAGCCTACAATCAGTATAAAGGCATCCACTTTTAAACCTTTATGCATATGACTTCTACAATGTCCTTTGACTATCTTTATCCTCCAGATCCATCATCACTATTGTATAAAACACTGTCATCAGTTTTTGCAGGAAGTATAGCACTAGTTATACGAGTTGATTTCCCTCCCCTGTGTTTCAAGGGTTTCCAAACTTTCTCTATGTTGATGCCAGTGGGACCTATGGGAAATGTATCTTCATTATACTCCTGACAATGATTCTTTGACTTAGTATAAAGATAAACTTTTTATCTCTTTATCCCAGCAATCAAGGATCTTCCCAGTCTGACTAATATCAACTTTTACAGTGACCTATCCAATTCCCTACCCTCAGAAACTTTCTGATATACTCAATCTGGATTTGTCATTACCTCACCAAACTAACAAATATAGCAAGTTCTTCATGCTAATGTGCTTTCCTTATTCAAGTAGCTCCCTTTTTTGATCAAGACTAATTTCTTTAGACTCATTACTTGATCCACTGAATGATTTATAAATTCAACATGCATTTATCTGTTTTAGGAAGCATTCATAGCATCACCTAAACTAAGTCAAAGCAAAAGAAATTATTTATTCCTCTGGAGTTATATTCTTTTATATTTATGCATCTAGAATTCTAGTGGCTCTACTGTGTAATCATGAGTTATTTTGAAAATATGCTTCTTTAACTAAATTAAGACACTAGAAGTTGGGGCATTGCTTATTCATAATCGTATTCCTGATGATTCACATATTAACCTCAGCAGACAGAGTAAACACTATATACTCATTGATATTAATTCAATCCAAGAGATATAAATTGATCAAGGATTCTAGAACTATCTCCAAACCTCACCACAGTGAAATGTTGCCTATTTAAACCATGCTTCATTGCCTGAAATTGTATACATAACTACAGGACTACAGGAAGAATCTCACTGAGGTCTCTCTCATTCCCGCAAACTGAGCTCTCTCTCTCTCTCTCTCTCTCTCTCTCTCTCTCTCTCTCTCTCTCTCTCTCTGTGTGTGTGTGAGAGAGAGAGAGAGAGAGAGAGAGAGAGAGAGAGAGAGAGAGAGAGAGTCACTGTGGTTTTCTGATGGAGGATTCTGTCCTATTATACAATAATCGATCTTAGTGTGCACCCTCATTTATTAATAATACTTCTTCTTGTGTGACGGTGGTATTCCACTCCCACTATAAGACCATACTTCAGGTCCTATTCTGAGTTTCCTTAGCTATCTCTCTTTTGTGATTACAGACTTATCATTGTGACTATAGTATAAAGCAAATGCAGGTTCAAATACTATCTCTGCCACCAAGCAGAACACATTCTCCAAATGAGCACTTTATATCAGATTCCACTTCTGTTAAATTGGTAGCTCAACAATGGAACATAAGAATTAAAAGTAACAGCATTTGTAAAGTATCTAATGTCCTGTCTAGTGCACAGAACCTGAGAGGAATTTGATGACAGTAAATAAGGGTGAAGATAATGGTAACAATGAATGGTGGCAAGTGGCAGCTGATCTTAAGTGGCAACTTTGAAATGTGAAAAAACTAACCAGAAAACTCAAGTTGTAAGAGCATGTTAAAATTCTCCAGGCAAACAGACAAATAGTCCAGACACACTGAGCCCTTGGTTAGACTAGAATGCCCTCAAAAGATACAGATTTCAGGAAAGAGCTTTCTGCAATTTTCCTTAGGTGTTCATAAGAGTCTTTGGCAATTAAGAAAATCTTCCTCAGTTTTACATGGAGAACTATTCATAAAGCCTGATGGTTCCCTAAAATGCAGCAATTTTACTTACAATGGATAGATGTGCTCTTTCCTGCCTTGCTTTCCAGGAAGGGGTTTTTGGAACTAGGAAGGTATTCAACTCGGGAATAGGTAGCACATATCAGAGCCTATGTCTTAGAATCCTGGAATCTCTTAATCAGGAGGCTTCTGATAGAGATCTTTGTGGCTCCACCCCAGAGTATGAACCTCCCAAGAGCCCATTGTAGTTCACAGCTTCATTTCTCTCTACTTCATTATATCTACCTTTATAGTTTCCATCAAGTGACTAATAAATGTTATAATTCTTTCTTCCATTTCCTAAAAAAATTTCATTAAATTTAAACTTATTTTAAAAATCCCCAAATATAAATATCTGATATATCACTGAGCTTACCACTCATCTACATATTACTCTATTATCCAGCTGATAAATTTATCAGCTCTAAGAAACCAACATTATTTAAAGTCTTTAGTTTTTTTAGGAAATTTTTCACCCAAAACAAAATTGTCTGTTTTCATTCTTTCAAAAAGCACATTAATTTCAGGCTTCTGCCCTGATAATATATAGAATATAGCAGAGTTTCTTTCTTCCAAGGTTCTCACCACAGTGAGGAAACAGATGTAAAACACAGTAATTACAACAAGCACATTTATTTTTATTACTTAATATTTTAAGTACATCTGATTCTTGAGTGCAGTATAATTCAGGACATGATTACAATACATACTGGATCAAGATAGTTAGCATTTACATCGCTAACATTTTTAAATATTTTAGCTAATATATATAATTACACAGATGTATATGATATAGAGACATTTCAATATTTTTATAAAGTATATAATAATCAAATCAAGGTAATTTTTCCATTTATAGACACAGACTTAGAAGACAAATCACTAGATCATATATAATTAAAATACTAAGGCATTTACAAAAAAGATCCCAAAGTCTCTTCAGAAACCAGGAATCTTTTCATTCATGTTTCTTCTTATTATTATGTTTAATAATAATAATTATGAATAATCTACTTTGGTAATAATAATCATTACCAATAGTAATAATTACTGAAATTTAGACTTATCCTACTAATTTATACTATATGAGACATACCCTGGATAGCTAAATAACATAGAGAGGATGAAACAGTCTGGACCCAAATTTTGACTTCATTTGTCCATGCTTACAGACATATTTTAACCATATCACAATCACGACCCAGATGCAGTATTTATGCAGATCAGAAATGCATGACTTGAAGTGCCAGCATCAAATAATCTACAATCCAGAGTTGTGTAAAGAGTAAACTACTGGATAATCAGAATAAAAGGAAAGCATAAAGGTTTTTTCAAAGCATTGTGATAACTCACACTACTAAATATTCAAACATGGATCAGAGAAGACTTTCTAAAGAAGGTACATTAAAACTTTCCTAAAATAGCTTAGAAAGGAACACCTTGTGCACAGCCTTCCGAATTTGCTTAGTCTTCACACTGTAGATTATAGGATTCATTACAGGAGGAATGAGCAGATAAACGTTGGCAATGAGAGTGTGCACAAAGGGAGGGGCATGCTTCCCAAATCTGTGCACCAGTGACAAGCTGATCATGGGGATATAGAAGATGGCAACTGCACTAAGGTGAGAGATACAGGTACCAAAAGCCTTTTTCCGCTCCTCCTTGGATGCAATGCAGAGCACAGAGTGAATAATCAGAACATAAGAAAGGAGAATCAAGACAGAGTCCAAGCCAGCAGTAGATATGACAATAGCCAAGCCAAATGCACTGTTGATCTTGGTATCTGTGCATGAAAGCTTCATCACATCAGGGTGGAAGCAGTAGGAATGGTGCAGCACATGACTGTGGCAAAATGACAGGCGTTTAAGGAGCAGGAGTAAAGGCACTAGAGCTGTGGTCCCCCTGATGACAATTGCAAAGCCTACTTTGATGATCCGTGAATTGGTTAGGATCAGGGCATATCTCAGTGGGTTACAGATGGCAAGGAAGCGGTCAAAGGCCATCACCAGGAGGACTGAGGACTCCATGAATGTAAAGCCATGGATAAAGAACATTTGGCCGATGCAGGCATCAAAGTTGATTGCTCTAAAGTTGAACCAGAAAATATCCAGCATGGTGACCAGTGTGGAAAGGCATAGACCTAAGTCTGTAAAAGAAAGCATGGAGAGGAAATAGTACATGGGTTCATGGAGGCTTGACTCATTGATGATGACAAACAGGATCATGCTATTCCCAGAGATGGCAACGGCATAGAGACAACAGAATGGCATGGAGATCCAGGCGTGGGAGGTTTCAAGACCAGGGATGCCGGTGAGGAAGAACATTTCAGGATAGAAAACGCTCTGGTTGAAAGATGGCATGATGATTGAAGGAAGCAGATACCTTTAGGGAAAAGGACAATATTCTATGCAAATAGGGGATGAACATTTTCACTTTCCTATTTATACCATACAATTTAGGATGATTAATGCAGCACATCATTGTTCTGATCTTCAGGGGAAATGCATAGCCATTTACTGTTACCTTAGATTTCAAATTGATCTCAAGTAAACTAGAGGAAGAAACAGAACACTGAATTATGTGAGGAAACATAGACTTTCAAAAGAGTCCTATTATCTTATATTTATGTGTACAAACATGAAAGAGGAGATTAATTTAGATGATGGAAAGTACTTTCCAGTTCTATGATCATAGACACTGGCAGACGGGATTACAAAAGATAATTTGCCCAGCTTCTTTTCACTTCTTGGTTCCTGAGGCAAGAATCCAGTGGGTCATTAAGATGTATAAGTTCTAATGTACCAAATGAAAGTGGGAGAATAAGTAATATTAAAGAATTTTTAGTAAAGTGCCTGTGACTGAATAAATACACAATAGCTTTTTATGAAAATTTAAACACAAGAAAAGAACCAATTAAATCTATTCTAATAGACCACACTGGGTAATAGAGAGAAAAAGATTGTTTACATAGATAATAGTTGAGAACTTGATTATGTTTAAGGAAAATTTCTTATGTTTAAGAATGATGGTTTAAAAGTGTCCTTAACAATAACATAGGAACTCCTTGGACGCTCATAGATAATCATTAGAGAAGAGTTATCTGAGCAAGCATCCTGACTTTTCATTTTTACTTGTAACTGCAGGTGTTTGCTTCTCTGTTTGTAGACAAGTGTGCACTCACCCAAATCATTAAATCTGCAGAATTGAATGAATTCCTCTGTGTGCATTCTTAAGTTTCCTGATACCATATTTTAATGTACAGAAAAAAATGCTTGGCTTTAATATACATTTATTTTCCTTTCACATTCATTAATGCATATGTTTACTTAACAAATACATACATACTTTCAAAGTGCCAGTATATGCAATGAACATGTCCTAGAATTGGATCTGTTACTATAAGAAAGAAAACAATGTCTGAAAAAGAAAACACTGGATTGGCAGTAATTTAGAATTAGTTAGAATAATTGGCTAAAAGAAGAACATCAAGGGGCATTTCTAGATATTTGAGGAGATAAAGCTTCTTTTGAGTACTAATTTAATCACCTCTGCATCATTGTAACAAAATACCTGATGTAATCAACTTATGAAGAAGGACTTATTTTGGCTCACAGTTTTGGAGGCTTCATTGCATGATCAAGTAGCTCTGTGGCAGCACATCATAGCAGAAGCATGTGGTGAGGAAAATGCTCACTTCATAGACAGGAAGCAAAGAGAAAAAGAGGAAGAGACCATCATCCCATAGTCTCCTTTGAGGGCATGCTCCTAACTACCTAAAACCTCCCACTGGGCCCTGGCTCTTGAAGTTTTCACTACCTCCCACCTACACCAAGCTACACATGAGTCTTTGGGAACATTTGAGTTTTAAACTATATCATTCTACTCTGGCCCCTAAAGTTTCATGCCCAATTTACAATGCAAATGCACCACCCAGAGTCCCCAAAGTTTTTACTCTTTAGCATTGCTCAAAAGTCCAAGTCCAAAGTCTCCTCTGAGACACAAGGGAAATTCAGCTATAAGCCCCTGTAAAATTGAAAATAAGTTACGGCTTCTAAGATACAATGATATTAGGTAAACATTCACATTCCAAAAGGGAGAAATTACAGGAATAGAAAGGAGGAATTGAACCAAAGCAAGATTGAAACCCAGCAGGGCAAACATTAAACCTTATAGCTCCATCCAGCATCCAGGACACATTTTTGCATGATGCATATTCCCAAGGACTTGGGCAGACCTGCCCCTGTGGTTTTGCTACTTATAGTCCACATGGCCGCTCTCTTGGGCCAGGTTTGCATGCTACCTGAAGCTTCTTTTGGAAAGCATTCCAAATACTGGGCATCTTGTCCTTCCCGCCTGTTTTGTGGCTTTAACATCACTGTCACAGCTCTCACATCCACCAAGTAAACAGCTACTTGCAGGGACTCCAAGCCTGCTACACACTGTCTGGCCTCCTAGGCTTTCCTCTGAAATCTCCACGAAAGCCTCCATGACCCTGTAACTCTTGTTCTCTGTGTGCCAGCAAAACCAGTATCACATGGATGATGCCAATGTCAACAGCCATCATAAACTGTACCAAGGCCCAAATAAAACACATAACACTTCTGAACCTGTGATGGGTAGAGGTATCTTTCCTATAGTCCCTGTGCAAAGTGTTTGGCTCCTTTTTAATGGCACTAATCTCTTTAGAAACTGCACCTCCTTGCCTATACCTTTAAACATACTCCTTTTCTAGCCAAGCTGAAAGTTTTACAAATTTGTCTGCTCTGTTTTTGGTGGTTTTTTTTTTTCTTTTTTCTTCTAATTTTCATCATAAATTTGGCAAAAAGCAGCCAGTGATACCCATGTAACTTCAGGAATGCTATGCTGTGCTGCCTTGAAATTTCCTCTGGGACACAAACTAGTAGGTGCGAATTTTTCTTTTCTTTCTTTTTTTTTGAGACTGGGTCTTGCTATGTTGCCCATGTTGGTCTCAAACTCCTGGGCTTAAGTGACCCTCTGGCCTCTACCTCACAAATAGAGTAGCTCTTTTTAAACACAGCTTCACAAACTCTCAGGGCATGGATAAAATGAATTCAAATTCTTTATCATTATGTGACATTTAATCCAAATCCAAATAGAATCCTGAATTCTATCTGAAACTTTATCAGCACAGCCTTTACTGTCTATATTTCAGTCAGCATTCTGATCTCTTGAGCCCTAACCAGGACTGTCTTTTAAGCTCCACTTACAACACTGTGTTTTTTGTAGCCTGGCCTCCAAACACTTCCAAATTCCTCCCTCAAACCAATCTACAGACTTATCCATGTCATCAGGTATGTGACAGCAACAAATCCACTCCTGGTACCAATATTCTGGGTTAATGAGCTTTCTGTCACGATAACAAAGCACTTCGGAAATCAACTTATAAAGAGGAAAGGTTTATCTTGGCTAGCAGAGTTGGATGTTTCAGTCTATGACTAAGTAGCCCCATTTCTTTGGATCTATGGCAACACATCATGACAGAAGCATGTGATAGCAAAGTGCTCACCTCATGACTGCGAACAGAAAAGGAAAGAGGAAGAGGCCAAAGTCTCACAATCAACTTTAAGGACACATTCCCAATGACCACTAGGCTCTACCTGTTAAAGTTTCTACCACCTCCTCCTAACACAAAGCTAAAGACCAAGTCTTTGACATATGGGCCTCTAGAGAACATTTACAATCCAGACTACAGCAAGTACTCACTTTTTTAAAAGTCTGGAAATGTTGACTTGAGAGGTTATGCAAAGGGGGTGAATTTGGCTAAGATACATTGTAAGCACTTTTGTAAATGTCACAGTGTAAACCTGGTACAACAATAATATAATAATAATTTTTTTTAAAAAAAGAGAGAGCAGTAATGCAAAACAAATCAAAATCTATGGGTTTGGGAGCCTGTCCTTGGAACTCAATTGAAAGACAAGTTTCACTTTTTCACTTGTAACTCTGCATGCAAGAACTGAGTCACCCCAAGGGAAGAGACTTCTGCCCTGATATTAGGACTTGAGAGTTGTCATGCTGATGTCTGGGGTTGAAGTCATAGGAGTGATGAAAATACATGAAATAATAAATCTAAAGGAGAAGTCTGAGAAAAGAGCCCCAGAGGAGGAGCAGTAGTTAAGCAAAAAGCAGAGAAATACCTTTTAATGAGCCATGGCTGCCAAGGCAAAAATGCCTAAGAAAACACAGGAGCTCACCCACTTTTCTCAGACCTATGACCTCAGAGCCAGAGGTCATGCCTGACACTGCATCTACTAGCAGATCTGTCACATAAGCAAATGAACTGCTCCTTAAAATAGCAACAGAGCCTGGACACTCAATACTTAGGTGGATGCTACCATTGTTCATATATGACTCCATCAGTTTACAAGTGATATTCATGTAAACACATTTGCATATTTTAAAGGGAGAGAACTAATTTCTTACTAATCTGTATGTATCCTTCAGACCAGGACTTCACTAAAATTTAGACGTAGTGATAAAAACAGTCTTTTTCTAGATGAAGTAGAGAGTAAAGATTTAAAATCATACCCTCTTTGTTTTAAAGATGAAGAAGGAGACTCTCAATTAAGGTTCTTTTTATTATAGTGAAAAATTAAGAGACCTTATTTATAATTAGTATTCAAAACATATAAAGAACTAGTGAAACTCAATAACAAAAGACAAACAAAGGCCAATTTAAAAGTGAGAAAAGGACATAAGTAGACATTTCTTCCAAAAAAAAAAAAACACACAAATGTCCAATAGGTATATGAAACGAGGCTCAACATCATTACCCATGGAAATGCAAATCAAAATCAAAGGAGATGTCAAGTCACACCTATGAGGATAGCTATTATTTTTAAGAATATTGACAAGAATGTGAAGAAATTGTAACCTTTGTACACTATTGAATGCAAAATGGTGCATCCTTTATGGGAAGCAGTATAAAATTCATCAAAAAATTAAAAATATAACTGCCATGTAATTGAGTAATCCCAATTCTGGGTATATATCCAAAGGAAATGAAATCGGTATGCTGAAAAGATGGCTTCATTTCTATGTGCATTGAGACGGTGTTCACAATAGCCAAAATATGCAAACAACCTAAATGCCCATCAACAAATGATGGGCTAAAGAATGTATGATATATATTATTCAGCCTTTAAAAGTAATAAAATTAACTGAGTGGGGAAGGGAAGAGATGGTGGGAGGGGGGATAAAGGGGAGAAAAGACCCAAACAATGTATGCACATGTGAATAAATGAATAATAAAAAATAAAAATAAAAAATAAAAGTAATAAAATTCTGACACATGTTATGCATGGACTTAGAGAGCATTATGCTAAAAGAAATAAGCCAG